CACGATTAGTACAGTGATAAAGGCTGTAAGGGCTGAGAAGAAGTAGATCTGTTTCCTGAACTCTAGCATCTTCAGGAAGATGATCTATCTCAACAAAGTTCTCTATTTTTCTAGAAATAGTTCTACGAACAGAGGAAGGAAGTCTTTTTGGGATGAAGGAAGAAAAAAAGATGAACGGGTTCAAAGCTATTTGAGGTTTCACTCATGATGTGGTGGTGTTTCTTACTCACCTTCACAAATAATATCTCACTTCTGTCAAGTTTATGCTGGCTCTGATACACTGGACCAAGCTACATAGTCTGATCAAATAAAAAATTATAATTGAATTTTATAATGTACAATATTTTTTTATTTAATGCCCATTATTAGTATTTAGACAAATATTTCATTGAATTTCGTTGCTTTAAGTAATATACATTGTTTTTGTGATTTAAATTTGCAGAATCATACCATCAAAAGAGACAAAGATATAAAAATAAAAAAAAAAATTAACTACGTACTTGAAAAATTTTGATAATATTAATTTGTTGATCAAATTCTAAAATTTGGTCATTTTTGGGGTGTTTGATAACTCTAAAAAACGAGACAAATTCTTTCACATATTTATTTCGTAAATCGTAAAAGCATTTCTGAAATCATGGTTTGGTTTTCATCACTGTTCTGCAACGAAGATGCGCTCTTGTGCCGCTAGAAGGTGCGCTTTTCCCCATCTTCCTCTCTGTATTCGATGTTCTTCATCTTCCATCATTCTCTCTTCCCCTTTCCACTCACCCCAAGTTCTTTGCTCATTCTCAAACCCGAGATGTGAATAGCTTTCACGACTCCATAGCTTCATTCATTCGCTTCCTCCATCAGCATCCCCCACCTTCCATACTCCAAATTAATAAGATTTTAGGATCACTTGCCAAGGCTCAGCATCACCGCACTGCCATCTCATTGTTTGCACAAGCTGAGTTCAGAGGATTCACACCCGATTTATTTACAATCAACATCTTGCTCAATTGTTACTGCCATTTGGATGACATGTATTCTGCTTTCTCAATATTGGGAAAGATTCACAAGATGGGTCTTCAACCGGATACTGTAACTTTAAATACGCTGATTAAAGGACTGTGCATTGGGAACCAGGTTGGGGAAGCATGGGACTTCTATGACGAGCTAACGGCCAAAGGATTCCAATTAGATGAAATTAGTTATGGAACTTTGGTTAATGGGCTATGTAAACTTGGCAAATTAAGGTCTGCCATTAAATTGATCCGAAAGATGGAGAGGCATTCAATTAAGCCTAATGTAGTCATATACAGTACAATCATTGATAGGCTTTGCAAATATGGACATATTGTTGAGGCCCATGCATTGTATTCTGAAATGATTGATCAAGGACTTTTACCGGATATTGTCACTTATAGCTCTTTAATCCACGGTCACTGCAGCAAGGGACAATGGGAAGAAGCTAATTGGTTTCTCCATGAAATGATGCTGAAAGGCATCGAGCCTAATGTTTATACATTAAATATATTGATTGATGTGTTCTGTAAAGAAGGAAAGATCATAGAAGCTGAAGTTATTCTTGGCAGGATGATGAAATGTGGCGAGAGACCTACTGTTGTAACTTACACTTCGTTAATGGATGGGTATTGTTCAATGGACAATGTTAAGGAGTCAAAACAAGTATTTAATAAGATGATTCGTAGTGGGCTGGCACCTGATGTAGTTAGTTTTAATATCTTGATTGCCGGATTATGTAAGATCAAAATGGTTGAAGAAGCTATGGTTCTGTTTAAAGAAATGCGTCACAAAAACGTAGATCCCAATACCTGGGCTTACAACTCTCTTATTCATGGCATGTGCAGATTAGGAAAAATGTCATATGTGCAGGACCTTGTTGATGATATGCATGATAGTGGTGTTGCCCCAGATGTAGTCACTTATAACATTTTGTTACATGCAGTTTGCAAAAGCCAGCATGTCGAACACGGGATTGCATTATTTCAGCAAATGGTTGCCTTGGGAGTTCAGCCTGATTTGCACACACTTAACGTACTTATTGATGGTTTGTGTAAAGGTGATAGAGTAAATGATGCTTGGGAGATTTTTGAATACCTTTTGAGCAAAGGCTATCGTGTAAATGTCTACACATATAGCATTATGATCAATGGCCTCTGTCGACAAGGGCTTTTTGATGAAGCCATGACTTTGCTTTCAAAAATGAAAGAGAAGGAATGCCTGCCTAACTCAATGACATATAGAATACTTCTTCGAGCTCTTTTGGGAAAAAGTGAGAATGATAGAGTAGAGAATCTTCTTCATGAAATGATTGATAGTGGTCTTGTCAAACAATAAAACAAGGTTAGATACTCTCATCCTATTTACTTATACGTGTTCAAATTTTTAAATTTTCCCTCAATGGTTATCTAGTGATGGTTTCTATTTGGTTAAATTGTTGGATTATGTGATGGGCTGAATGGACTTGATGTGTTAATGTTCAAGTCATATCTTTAATAGATTCATTGTGACTATGGTATTTGGCCCAAAAAAAAAAAAACGATTGTGCTTATTGTATGTACCTATGAGTTTCTTTTGGTCTGAACATGACATTGTTCTTTCTTTATTTATGGTTTATTTCTGCATCAATTTATCACCTTCATTGGCATCTAACTCCTCCAATAGAAAAAGGCTTTTGGTGGAGGGTTTTGTTTCACAGTAAGGTGTCTTTCATAACTCTAAGACGCATCTAGGTTCTTGCACAAGTATTAGCACTTTTCATTGTTTTAATTATAGCTTAAATGTTGTTCTATAGAGTTTGTAATCTAATGTAATAGTTCCCTTCAGGACATTATGGCCAACAAAGATTGTTCGTTAGGTTGTTTTAAGAATAAGGAAATTGATGTCTCGACGTATTTGGTTGCCTAAGCATAAATAAAGGTTTAGGAGTGGCCAGTACACTAGTGTTAACCTTGCATTTGCTTGATGATGCTTTCTCCTTGTATCTGGCAAATGGAATAAATATTGTTTATTTTCCTCTTGCGTCATAGTCCTTGTTGATGCTTTCTCATTTACTGAACAGGGCGTGAGGTGAACTAATCACGTGATGCTTGAGCCCGTGAAAATCTCTTGCCTAATTTTTTCTTCTTACTTTAAAGATGGGAACGTGACGTTTGCTAGAAATTGATGCTGGTAATGAATTGAAATTGTATGTTTGATGCAACATGGTGCTTTAAATATGCTTTTAGACCGGAAAATTGCTCATATATCTACCTATATATAAGCTCTGTTGTAGTCTCCGTAAACAATAAAGTTACAGCTCCTTTGGACCATTTGGCTGATTGTAATCTTTCTAGTGAAATAGGCGGTACATGTAACTGGGGAGGAATTGTGTCTGTTGTTTGGAAAACATTGGAATTTTGTCTTTGAAAACGTAGGAATTGTCTTCACTGGCTAAAAAATATGGGCACTAAGAAGAAAAAGTAGGTTGCATTTCCAATTGTTAGGTAATACTCAAAGGATACATATTTGGTCTACGTCAGGAAGGTCCGAATTTAGACCTAATTCAATATGTTTTTGGTTCAAACGATGTCCACATTGTTTGAGCCTAAAACTATCGGAAACTTGTGACCAGAAGGTTTGTCCTTGCTAGACGATGCATAAGCTGCTTAGCTGTAACTTCTGGGTTTTTCTTCTTCTTCTCCCTCCTGGATTCTTTGTGGTTGCTTCGAAATCAGACTTGTTTTGCAGGTATCCATGTTACACACAAGGAAGTGATCAGCAAAGCCACTTGGAGAACTTTAACTATTCTTAAAACTGAAGAGGGCCTTCAACCTTCAACAGCATCTTTGCAACTCAGCAAGCAATCACAGATCAGTGAGGGAGGCCACATTATTACTTCATACCCAATATGCGGGATATTTGATTTTAAATTAAACAAGACCAAAAAACAGATGGCCAGCAATCCATATCTCCATCTTTTGGAATCATCAAACTTTTTACAACTGGACATTTCAACTGCCAGTTCGAATGAAGGGTCTAGAGCTTCAGCTTTCCGCTCTCAGGGAAGCACAGTTTTTTCTTTTATCTCACTGTTATGTATCCAATGTTTTTTGTATTCCCTTATGTTTAGACTTGTTCTCTAATTCTTACTGTATTTTTGTTATCAAGGAGAGAATGACGCCATGGTCAATCCAACCATCACAAGATGACATCGGTGTCATTCACAAGGACATCTGTTATCATTTGTTTCATTTTTATAATTAATAGTCTTATTCTGTATTCAGTTTTTGGGTTTATAGTACCCTATCCTGTGGATTAATAGACCCTTGGAAAGTGTTACATACATAATTGCAGAGTTTTGGATTGTGTGAAATTGAGGTTCTATTCCTTAATATTTTGACGAGTTGGGATTTAGGAACTCATTAAGGTTCTCATTAGCCCCGCAGCTGAAAAAACAGCTTGCATCTTTTGGTAGATTTTACATGCATGTTAAGGAGCTAGATGGATGCACATTGTAGCCATAGCTAATTCCTCCTGGGCCATAATTTCTAACATGGTGAGTATTTCTCATTCAATTTAAAGTCCTGAATATATCGTACATACCCATGAACACCCCTACTAGAGAGGAGCGAGGGATGTGCCAATGACCCTTCTAAGAGCCATTTAGTGGCAGCGTGGAGGACTAAAATATCAAAGCGAGGTGATGATCTGGAGAAGCAAGATTGTGTCGTCAGAATGGCAGAGCAGTGAGAGAGGCCCCGAGATATTTCATGGATGAAGGCAAATGGGTGATATGGAGGTGAGGACAAGTATATAAGATTAGGGGTGTGTATTAGGCTCGCATGCCTAATATGTCTGTCCGAACCCACAAAAAAAACGCCCAGCCCAACTGGAGAAAAAACTATCCAAACAAAAAAGGACATTTTCGAGCAGGGCTAATTCATGGGCAGGGGGCTGCCCTACCCATTTGGCCATACCAGGAAAAAAATATAATTATGTATATTATAATATATAATATTATATTATTTTGAACAATTATCCCTTTTTATTTTTGCTACAAAAATTAGGAAACATTAGAAAAAATGAAAGGAACATAAAAATTATAATTATGCAAAAGAACCAAATATCAAAACATAAGATTAAATGTGCTAAATTGCTCTTAGTCAAATTTCCTTCTTTTCCTCTTACCTCCAATTTAAAAAAAAAAAAGAAAGGAAAACCGCCTTTCAAATTTTGTGTTTTCACATGATTATAAGAATGCGCCAACTATATGAAGAACTAAAGAATTAAACTATAGAATTAGCTCAATTATTAAATGTTTTAATTATTAAATAATTTTTTACCTCCCATAAGAAATTGAAGGCTGAAGAACAAGACTACATAAGCCTTGCATATATGAGTGATTGAGTCATTTGTGATAAATTTTTTCCTCTCACCTTGTCTCAAAGCATGGTAATTGAATTTTTTTTCTACATATGATATGGGCAAGGTGTCACTAAGTTGGGCAAAAAAACCTGCCCTGGGCCACTCCAAAATGGTTAGGGTTTCTATCGGGTTGGGCTGGTTTTTGCAGCTCGCTTATCTTTCGAGCTGAGTATCGGGCAGGGTGCTTGCCTTGTCCAACCCTATCCATATGCAGCCCCATAGAAGATGCACAAATGGGGATGTAGCTGGAATTAGAAGTTTTTAGGAATTCGATGAATGAGCTTGTGCTTGGACTTGCGTTCTCAGAGTCATGGGCCTTCTTGCTTCTGAGGAAATGGGACATGGCTGAAGCGGGGAGAAGGAACGATGAGGTCTGGAGAACAACGGGGAATAAACTGTAACAAAACTTTTTAACATTGCACATTCTAATTTAACGGAAGGACTAACGGCTTTAATGGTTAAAAATTTAAGGATCCAATAAAAAAAATAAAAAAACCTTAAGGACCTAATTCAAAACCAGTATAAATCATAAGGATTTCCAAATTAGTTTTTCCGTATTTTTTATGAAAATCTATGATGATTTCTATATTTATATTGAGTATTTATATTTATGTATTTAAATTATAATTTATTATAATTTAAATTTTTTAATTATTGAATTTTTTAATAATAATATTATTCTTAACTTTAAAAAGCATTTATTTAATAGCATTATATTTTTTATTAGGGGTAACATGGTAAATTGCACAATTTTTCAACCCATTTTTATCCAACCAAACATAAAATTTTTCATCAATCTATGTTTTATTTCAGTGCTTACCAAATATGTTATCACTTAGAAGTTTCTCATTCCATTCCATTCCAATCAATTTTTCCTACCAAACGGGCCCTTAAAGTATCCTAACTGTGAATTCATACGGTCAATATTATCAAGGAAGCAATGAATCTCTTCATTTAGTGTTATCTGTACAAGTGCTGAAAGTTTTCTTGAACAGTTTGTTTCAAATTAAAATTGTTGAAGATCCAATATTATTGTTTTGGTCTTATCTTTTAATATAAGTCTCAGTCTCTAATGTATTCTAATTGGGATCCTGAGATTCAGCAATGTGATGATCATTTTGCTTGGAATGCTCACGAGATGTGCAACACTCTGTTTCTATCACGAGATCCTCCAACTTATTGCATAGTTCAGCTTTTTATAGACTGTAACCATCTAAGCCTGGGGATAATACTTGCAATATAATTTCTTGCCTTGCTTTTTCGGAAGGAAAAAAAAAAGGCAATGGATTCTTCTTCCTTTTTCTTTCTTTATTTTTTTTCTTTTGGTTACAGAGTGCATTATTCTTTAATTGTGAATCAAGTGATGCTGTCTCCCCTGCTTCATGATTAGGGTCTGTTTGGTATGACGGAAAATGAGAGGAGGGGAAGGACGGGAAAATTTTAATAAGCTTGATTTAAAAAATTAAAAAAAATAGGGTTAAAAGTTTTTAATTAATTTTATTCCTCTTTTATATTACTTCTTCTCTTTATTAAAATTTTAAGACCCCATTTCTCCAATATTTTAAATACAGCACATTAAAATTTTTCTTCCCCTTTTCTTTCCTCCTTTTCTCTCATACCAAATAGTACTTTAGTGTGCTTGAGTACAAATATAGCGTAATTTAGATTTAGTTAACTGAATTTCTCAAACATCGTACGTAGTTTTGTTGCTGAATGAAATTTCATAGGTTTTACGCCAAAAAAAATAATTGAAGTTCTCAAATTTATTTGTTTTGTGAGAAATTTTTACACTCCTCCGGTTCTAAATAAATAAATTAAAAAAAACTAGTTGAAGAATTTGCTTTAATCCTCCCAAATTTAATGTTTTTCCCTACACTCTCTCTATTGATGAGGACTATCATTAAGAGAGTAGTTTTCATGCAAATGATTGG